GATAATGATTGGATGATGAAAGGATGATGGATGATGGTTGGATGATGAATGGATGATTAGTTAGATGATGAATGATGATGGATGGATGGATGGATGGATAGATAATGGATGATGGATAATGGTTGAATGATGGATGGATGATGGATAATTAATGGATGGATGATGTTAAATGATGGATAATGGACAGAAGGTAGATGATGGATAGATGATGCATGATGATTGGATGATGGATGGATGGATGATTGTTGGATGATGGATGGATGATTGGATGAATGATGGTTGGATGATGGATGGATGGAGTAATTAAAGTACTCCAGCCTGCTCGTGACAGTTTTTTACACAATTATTTTTCATTCTGTGATCAGTTTTTATCTCAGGGGGAAAAAAAAATCATGATTTTTAAAGAGTTGTTTTCTTTGTTTAGATGTTTTATTTCTTCTTTAGACTTTAACATATGATTTTATTTTTATTCTTTAAAGCATTTTTAGATTAACAAGTTTGAATTTTTTTCTCTTTGAAATTCCAGCCTAAATCAACTGGTTTTGGTCCCAAACAATGTTTTTTTTAATGATTTTAAGACGTTTGTTAATGTACACAAAGTGACGTCAGTTAATTTATATAAATAGTGTAAATATCTGATCAATAAGTTGAACAACTAACTCTTTTCGTGTTGAACCAAATAAATGCATAAACACAATAAAAGCCTGGCATTCTTTGAAGGAAAACACTTTTACATTTTACACTAAGTTCATCTTTTTGGTGAAAAATGATGGAGTTGTAGCCTTTTCAGTCAAACAAGATGAGACTACTCTCAGCTACTACCACACCAGATCTCACCTCCACATCTGTAAAACTAACGAGTTATGTTAAGGTCAGCTGGCTGTGGCAGCCATCTTGAATCAGGTTGGCTTCCAAATATTTGGATGTGCATCTAATGATTACACACTGAAGGTGTTCATGAAACGTTTTAACAGACACACACACACATCACTGTCATGCTTTTATTATCTTAAAAAAACGTGTTCATCATTTGACTATGTAAAGATTTTCACAATAAAAGCTTGTGCTTTCCTCTCTAATACTTAAAGTTTTAATCAATTCGGTCACGATACTCCCCGCAGTCTGTGTGTTTAAAGACGTAGATCCACTCAGAGCGGTCCGGCGCTGCTAAAAGCAGAGTTTTTGGTTCAGAGCACAACCAGATGGCCCAGCTGAGCTCACAGCTGCATCTGTGGGGAGGAACACTAAAGCGCTGTGGGCTGTTTATTAATGGAAACAGGGTTTAGGTTGAGCACAGATTTAAATGATGGAGGCAAACAGCAGCTCAGGGCGGAGGGCGGGGAGTCGATAATCAGATTATCTCCATCATTTCCCTGAGTTTGGGCATTTGCTGATTTAGGGCACTACATGGGAATTACATCCATTTGTTGGAATGAAACTGCTTTCACAGAGGCATTCGTTTTCAGTGTTTTTTTTTTTTTTTTTTTTCTCCAAGTTACTCGTTGAATCAAATAATAGAAACAGTAAAAGTCAAATAGGACATAATTTTCTGTCAGAAAAACAACAAATGTCATCCATCACAGAAAACGGAACATTAAAAATAACATGAACAAGTGGGATCTGATGCTGAGGGACTTGAATTGTGACTGTTTTTAGTTTTTAAGATGAGTGTTTTTCTGGGCTGCAGGGACTGAAAGTAAACCTTAATGTTTATGGTGCAGGATGTTCAAGTGGGTAAGAGTCACACTGTGGAGAAGAACAGAGGGAGGTTTTGTTTTCTTGTCCGAGGGGATGCAGAGCGACGGATCCATGGAGGGAGCAGTTTTAATCATGACCAGGAGCAATGGAGGAGCCAGGGGGTGGCCAAAGGTGGCCTCGGCCACCAGATTAATCTTTGGTCACCCCAATCATTTGAGGAAACTAGACTTTTAAGCAATATAAAAACTAGAAAGCATAAATTCTTCAAATGACAGGGCTGGTTTGTTTACATATATTTATCTAGATGCAGTGGCCTTCTTGGATTTTGACATGGCAACCCACTTTTTGATTCTGATCTTACTCCTAGATGCAGTCACACATCAAAATGGAAGTCCATTCCTCTCTTACTTTTCAAATTATCATGCACGGACAGATGGACGGACAGATGGACGGACAGATGGACGGACAGATGGACGGACAGATGGACGGACAGATGGACGAGGGGTATTTCCAATTCTTCGTTCCACGATGGGGGACAATTAAAGGCCTAGCATGCAGATCTCTGATGATCTATTAGAGTTTGTTATTAAACATCTGGTTCTGAGCGTTTCATTAAACTCTGTCCACTGGTTCATGAGATATTTCATCATCAAACGATCGCACGCATGCATCCAACCACCTCTCCACCTTTGTCAGTAATGAAATGAGCTCCCTGTCTGAGCGGTCACTGGATAGAACATGGAGTTCCAAGTTTCTCCAGTGCTGTGTTCAGTCCCAGCAGACCCATCTCCTGCACGTATCCGGTGACCGCTGCCACCGTCAGGCGCTTCCCTGCAGACCTCCTCTCCATCAGCTCAGCGCACTTCTTCCCACACAGCCTCTTCAGGGAGGAGACGTCCTTGTTGCTGTCCTCCCTCAGGTTGTCCTCCAGCAGCTTCTTCAGTCTTTCTTCACATGCCGCTTGCTGCTCGAGCTTGATTTTTGTGAGCCTCAGCTCCCGCTTGAAGGCCTCGGTTCTCCGTTTCTCCACTCTGAGGTGCTCCATCTGGACGTCTACCTCTTTCTGGTTCTCCTCCCTCTCCCGCTGGAGCATGTCCTCCATCTGCCTTTTCCTGTCCTCCTCCTTCGTGCTCAGCTCCTCCATCTTCTGGCAGAGTTTGTTTAACTCTTTCTGCAGAGCATATCTCTCCATCTCTTCTCTCTGCCTGATGGCCTGCTCCATCTGGATTTGCTGCAGCTCCCTCTCCCTCTCCTGCTTCTCGTTCTCCTCTTTATCCTTCTGGATCTTGTCCTCCAGTGATTGTCTCATCTGTTCCTCCCGCTCCACCTGCTCCTCCAACATTTTGGTAACTTTTTCCAGCCTCTCCTGAATGTCTTGTCTCTTCTTCTTCTCCATCTCTATCAGTGTTTCCACCTCTCGTGTCTTCCTCCACTCCACCTCTCTCCTCAAGGCCTCTTCCCGTTCTCTTGCCAGTTTCTCCTCCTTCTCCTTCTCCAGATCCTGTTTTACCCTCAGCTCCTCCAGCTCCTTCTTGCTCTGCTGCTGAACCATCTCCAGCTCCTTTTGGTACCACTCTCTGAGAGTTTGCTCCTGCTTCTTTTTTAGAAGCTTGTCCTTCTCGGTTTGCTGTTGGAGCTGAAGAGCCAGGTCCTCCTCTGCTCTCTGGAGCATCTTGCTGGTGAAGCAGCTTTCCTCGTTGTCCCGCATCAGGCCTTCCACCAAGGTGAACAGCTCGGACACCTGCTCCCTGTTCTTGAAGTTCTGGTTGTTGAAGACACAGTACCTGCCCCCACACCCGTCCACCAGCTCGGCGAGGTCCCGGAACTGGTCTATGAGACAACGTTTCACAGATGTTCCCTCCTCAAGTCGGTCTCCATGAGTAAAAACCACCACAGAGAACTTCAGACCTTGGGGACCCATGGCCTCTTTGATCTGCCGCACTGCGTCCTTCTCGTCCTGAGAAAACCTCCCGACCTGGATGATGATCAGAAACACATGCGGTCCGGGGAACAGGAGGCTCAGGCTCCTCCTCAGCTCCCGCTGCACCTCCTGTGGAGTCTGATGAGAGTCCAGCACCCCGGGGGTGTCCAACAACAGCAGCTGCCGCCCACGAAACTCTCCGCTGGCCCTGCGAGAGTGCTGGCTGCCCGATGCGCTGCTGACCTTCAGGTCCAAGATCTTACGACCCAGGATGGAGTTGGCGGTGGAGCTTTTGCCACTGCCCGCCTTCCCCAGTAAAACCATTCTGATGATGGTGGAGGAGGGAGAGGCCTTCTTCACTGAGGAGATAAAAGAGGAAACAGTTAGAAATCAGCAAGTGAGCAAACGAAAAGACAAAAGAAAGGATCCTACCTGTGCAGCTGAGGGGAGGCTGTTTGGTGTTCGACATGTTTTTGCTCCTTTTTCTCGTCACACTGAGAGCAGGCAAACAGTCTGCAGCCGTATACATGCAGTCATGTGATCTCACGATGTGTAAATGTCCATTTGAACTTTGACCTTTATCATTGAGTTTGTGATATCTGTGGTCCAATAGTCTGTCTCTGAAATGCTGAACGCAGCAGGTTTCTGAGAACATGCACAATAACAAGTCCAGCTGATCAATACGTACGGAGAGCTTTTATGTAGGTTGGGGTGAATGTGATCAACGTCCAGCAGATGGACGGTTATTGGATACTTTGAGCTCTTATTCAACATGTAAACTGATGAACCTGCAAGATCAATAGACGTTCCTGTCAGTGATTTGGCAGACCAGAGAAAACACGAACAACAGGACAGACATGCTAACAGCTCTGCACGGCTCAAACATGAATTACAAACAATCAGAAACAGAAACTTGAAATGGACTGTACTTATGTAGCTCCTTTCTAGACAACCAGGATACTCAAACCACTTTACAGCACAATCTGTGCCTTGATTACCCATACACACATTCATGCAGAATTCTACTATTCTGTACTATTGGGGCGGCTGTGGCTGAGTGGTTAGAGCAGTTGTCCTCCAATGCAAGAGTTGGGGGTTTGATTCCACCTGCATTCACATGCCAAAGTGTCCCTGGGCAAGAAACTGGACCCCTCATTGCCTCTGATGTGTGTCCCATCAGTGTATGAATGTGTTGAAGCACTGATTATTTGTTGTATAGATCTAGTAGAGTGCTGTATGAATGTATAAATGAGGGCACAGATTGTGTTGTAAAGAGCTTTGAGTATCTTGATAAGATCGAAAGGTGCTATATAAGTACAGTCCATTTACTACATCTCTACAAATTTCATCTGAATAAATCACGTCATGGAGTAAACATGGGCAATATATGGCTCGAGGGCCAAAAGTGGCCCTTTGACAATCTCCATCTGGCCCCCAACATTCTTAATTGAAAAGAAAACTCTCTTTTCAACATAGCAGTATTTATTTAAACAATAACATTTAAATAAGTTGATGGAAACTAGCATTTTATCAGTGAAACCTAAAAAAAACTATCTTACGAGGTTGAGTCAGTTCTTCTGGATGGGTTCGTTTTTGTTGAAACGTTCAGCATTTGTTTAAACTTCATAAATGCATTTATTTATTGCATATTGAAGCTAACAAATATATTGTCAAAAGAGTCATTTTACAGAAATTATGGCTTATATTCCTAAAGCGTACTGTGGAGACATATTTTATCAAGCATGCTAACTACGCTGCAAGAAAAAATCTGATAAAAGTCTTCTGGATTATCTTTCTTAAAGAACATTTATTTTCCAATTCTCTATCCTCTTTAATTGTTATAAATATCTGTATCTGAAGAAATAAAAAATGTTGCCCACCCTGTCATAGAGTCTAATCAGTGCTTTAGATTGCATTCATACACTGACTGGCTGACACACTGGAGGCACAGAGGAGTTCAGCGGCTGCCCCAGGCACTGCAGAATGGTGGAATTGAACCTCCAATTCTCTCACTGGAGGACCACTGCTTTAACCGCTGAACCACAGCCTCCTCACCGCATCCAAAAGCACAATAAATAGATAAATAAACATCATGTGTACGTTGTGTTAGGCTAAATTTTATGTGTGAATTATTGCCCAGGTGTACTCTGTTGTGATGCTGCACAGAGGAGCTGCAGGAGGATGATCTCGTCTTCCATTCCCAACCTGCTGCAGCTGACCTGTCATCAACTCTAGATCCTGTAGTTGTAAAACGTTTTGTGAGGAGTTTGTAGAGGTGAGCTGCCACTTTATTTAGACTTTTCTCCTGTATTCCATTAACATCGTGAGGTAAGAGACTTGTGGTTTGGTTCATTTTATTTTTCTTCAGGTAAGAGAAAACACAGTGGTTTGTTTTGTTTGTTGTTTGGGTCTGAAGTTGGTAAGACTCCACAAAGTCAATAATTTCACTGTTGTAAATAAAATCACTGTTCTATCATATAATCCTGACTTAGTGGCTGCTTGAGTGGTGCAAAAGGTGGAATCGCCCATAATTAATAGCTAACCGGTGGTTGTTGTTGCGCTGGGGTGTAACATCACACAAACACTCCATCCATCTGTTCCTGGCCCGTCGCTCCAATTTTAGATACCAGTGTGGCCCGCAAGTCTGAAAGTTTGCCCACCCCTGGGCTAAAATGGTAGTTTAGATCTTTTTAAGTAGGGCTCTGTGGGAAGATTACAAAGAATATCTTGTAGACAACTCTTTGAACAACCTCAGTTTAAAGAAAACGAGTTTCAATCTGGTCAGATTAACAGCTACTTCATAGCTACAGCTACGGCTACTAGCAGGACTAAAACTAATGCACATTCAAACACAAATATTTCATAGAAATACATCAATCACTATTTTTTAAACCTCATCATCATTGTCAGTTCTGCATTACAGGGAGGCAGTGATACAGCTAGCTGCTGCTGTCTCCATTTGCACCTGCAAATAACCATATCCTACGTAAATAACTATTTCACGTTGGTCTGGCAGGATTGTAAAGGTTTATGAAATAAAATCTGCGTGAACCACTTTAAAACATTTGAAGTCGGAGTTGTTTCAGTAAACACCTTCAGACTAGCCGTTAGCTCATCCAGCAGGTCAGATCTAAACCCTTTTCTCCAAACTGAGGTGATTCAACAAGCTATCTGCAACAGGTAAGATATTAACTGTTCATCCTCTTTCCACAGAGCCCCACTTCAAAGCAGATGAACTGTTGATTAATTGCAGCTAAAGTGTGATTAGATTTTTTTGTTTGTTTTGTTGACATCGTCCACTGGATGGAGGGGGAAGTTCCTCCGTCAGATGATCACATCTTCTCAGCAGTTTTTGTCTTGATGAGCTGAGACTTTAGACAAGAGGTTGTCAATTCTTTTAGTCACCAAACAAACGTCAGCAATAAAAGTGGACTTTACGTTTACTCTCACAGTCTTCGTCAATCATTTCATGTTTTTCTTTATTCTGAGATGATAGCTTACTTTTTATTCTTTTTTTTTAACAGTCTGAACAAAGAGCTTCAGAGAATCTGGGAGGATGTGTGTTAATACGATCTGAAAATGAGGACGTCTATTAATAGAAGTAACAGTGAACTAATTCTTGAGCCTGAACTATTCCGTTTGTCTTCCTCTTCCATCAGAAACGCACGAACGTGTTCAGGTTCTACATCACAACTTTCCATTTTAATCTGGGTTATCATTCCATCGCATTAATCTCCTATTTACCCCAAGTGCTTATTGCTAAAGGTGCGTTCAAAATAATAAAAAGCTTAAAGTGGCTACAGTTGATTTTCAATGTATTTTTAAAAAGAAAAAAAAGAATAAATGCAAAAATAATTGTAAAATAAACTATTTGTCTTTTTATGGAGTTTGAGTTTTGTTCACTATTATTATATAAAACTACTGGACTTTACAGATGAACAGTTTGTGACATTAGATTAGGTGTGGGACTTGTTTTAAATAAATATGTACCCATGTACACGTGTTGCTGAATTCTCCATAGTTGGAGCATGCCTCCCCTCTAGTGGCTCTTGGTGAAAATTGGTGGTTTGTTTTGGAAAATTGGTTTAAAATCCCTCTGAAAATCTTAAACTGGATTGTTGCTGTTAGCCTCTGCAGCCTTAAGTGTTTGTGACACATTTATAGATTGTAAATTTCACGATTAATGTCCACAATCCCTGCAACTTTAAAAAACAAGACATTTTGCTAAAGGCTGGTTTAGTCCACGAGAAGTGCCGAAGTTGTGTCTTGCTGACGTGGGTGTGTTGCGAAAAATTCATATTTTTCTACTTGCACCTCCCGCTGAGACCCCGTCGTTAGAACCAGTTAGGCAACGAGCATTGTGTGATTCGTCAGAAAACACGTGGGCATGTTTGTTTATAAAAAGTGGCTGCAGCTCTCTGAGAGCAAAGTCTGCTGAGGAGCTGCTGGCCGAGGCTGTTAGAAAACACAGCCACCTTAACATCTGTTCCAGAAAAAATGACAAAGAATAATTTTTAAAAATGGCATTTTTTTTTGTGCACAAAGGAGACACAGTACACTATCTGAAACAGTGGGGGTCACTTTGTGACAAATATACCAAATAGTGCTTCTCCTCCATTAATAACAGGAATACCAGGTCTTCCTCCTCTGACTCTGTAACAGAAAATAAGCGTTTACTGTGAAACCGTTCCATTTGTGCAGCTGCTGTTTGCACTTCTGCTGCAGTAAGAGGACTTGATCAAGACTTCTTCCCCGTGGTTTCTCTTTGAGTATGAATTGTTCGTGCACACAAGACCACCTCAAATCACATCAGCGAGATGCGACGTCTCAGCATCATGTGACGTATCACCAGATATTAACGATTAGATTTTAATTATACTAAAATTTATACTTTTTATAAAATTTAAAGTTATGTACACCATCGATAAAATTAATAAATTAATTTTTAACAGATCATCCATATTATATTTACCTGCTTCTTCCTTTTCAGGTTGGGGGGGGGGGGTCATTGGTGCCCATGTCCAGCTATCACTGTGTGAGAGGCAGGGGACACCCTGGACAGGTCTCCAGTCCATCACAGGACTAACAGATCATCAATTCTGTATATGTTTATTGAAACGTTTTGCAAAGTTAATCAAAAGGTAAACTTAAGGAGCCAGTTCAGATCTTTTGAAGTGAGCTTCTGAATGACTATTATCTTATTCTTAACTTATTTGTCACGTCTAGACTTGACTTTTGCAATTGTTGGTAACACTTTACAATAAGGTACACAAAATTTGATTAACTACTAGAGAACGCCTCAGGAACGAATCAGGAACAAATCAGGAGTTAATAGATAGTTAACCAGTACTTACTGGGGAGCACACAGCCCAGCATTATTAGGGGACTACTGGTTAATTACCTGTGAAACGAAGAGGAACTAATCAGGAACTAATGGGTACTTAACATGGAAACCAAAGAGGAACGAATCAGGAGCTAATGAGTAGTTAACCAGTACTTACAGGAGAACACACAGCCAAGCCTTATTAAGGGACTACTTGTTAGTTACCTTGTAAATGAATAGGAACTAATCAAGAACTAATGGGTAGTTACCAAGGAGACTAAAGAAGAACAAATCAGGAGCTAATGGGTAATAAAATCAATAATCACTAGGAAACAGGTTTTTGACTATTATGCGTTGTGACCTCACTGGTGCAGGGTTTATTCAGAACCCACATGGAGAATTTCTCCTCTATTTATGTGGTAATAAACCAGTAGTCCTTTAATAAGGCTTGACTGTGTGTTCCCCAGTAAGTACTGGTTAATTATCCATTAACTTCTGATTTATTCTTTAGGCATTCCCTGGTAGTTAATCGAATTTTGTCTACCTTATTTTAAAGTATTACCCAATGGTTTAATATCTGGTGTCCAAATACTTCTTTAAAAAGTCTTCATTTGATCCAAAATGTTGCTGCCAGAGTCTTAACTGGAGTTAGTGGGAGAGATCATATCTCCAGTTTTAGCTTCTCTCCATCGGCTCCCTGTCAAATCCAGAATAGAATTCAAAATTCTACTTCTAACCTACAAAGCTCTCAACAACCTAACTGCATCTTATATTACAGATCTTATTGTTCCATATTTTCCTAACAGAGAACTTCACTCTTAGTCTGCAGGTTTACTCATGGTTCCTAGAGTTTCCAAAAGCAGAATGGGAGGAAGATCTTTCAGTTATCAGGCTCCTCTCTTGTGGAACCAACTTCCTGTTTCTCTCTGTGAGACTGACACATTGTCCAGTTTTAAAACTGGGATTAAGACTTTCCTTTTTGATAAATCCTATAGTTAGGGTTGGCTTGTTATGCTGCCATAGGATTAGACTACTAGAGGACAAATTGATGTCATTTCCTTAAAATAATTGTTAAAATTGAATAGTTTTCATTTTATATTTCTATTTTAACATGTGATTCTTGACCTGCCATTGTGTATCTGTTCCTCCTTCCTGATCCTCTCAAACCCAGCCTGTCGAAGCAGATGATCACTTGTCCTGAGTCTGGTTCTGCTAAAGGTTTCTTCCTCATGAGGGAGTTTTTCCTTCCCACTGTCGCCTTCATGCTTGCTCAAGATGAGAGTTCTGTGATAGAGTTAAATTCAAAGCAGTCTGCTCCTCAGATAAATAATGTTAAATTATTATTTTTATGTATATTAATATTTCTGTTCAGTGCCCTGAGATGACTTCTGTTGTGACTTGGTGCTAAATAAATAAACTGAACTGAGCTGAATTGAATTGGAATTCCTTTTCAAATAGCCTCAGTCTGTAGAAAGAGTTCAACTTGGACATAATTGATTTTATAACAGCTGGTCTCAAATTTTATAGTGATATATGTGAGCATCATTTTATAGATCTTTACACTGCTGTAAGTTTCCCTTTGAGGAAATACTAAAAATTTTAAAATGACATGAATTACAAAATGGCATTCACACAAACCATTTTAAAACTTTTGAGATCGGAGCGGTTTTAAAACGGCAGCAATTCTGTCTGTTCTGAAATTAGACATTAGTTCGTCAGTCCAGTCAGAATTAAACCGTTTTTGTCCAAAAAGAGTTTGTTCAAAGGGTTATCTACAACAAGTTTATTATTTCTTCATAACCTTTCTACTGAACTTCCCTTCACAAAGTCTGAACATACTGTCAGGTGGGCTTGAAGGTTGAAATAAAGAATGCTCAGTCAGACATCTTCACAAACACGATGTATTTTCTCCAAATCTCAATTTCGAATATTGGTCTTTGTCTCAACAAACACGCTTCACTTTACTCCGTTTTTTTTTTTTTTTTTTTAATGAAACCTGCGCAGTCTGAGTTCAGAGCTCACTGTCTCCCCTCTTCTTAACCATGGATGAGGCTGTGTTGGATTTGTAGTAAATGTGCTGCTTCACCTTGAGCACGCAGAAGACACACAAAGAGGAAAACAACATCTGCCTGCCTTAAAACACAACGTAAGAAACACAAAACGGGAAGTCTGTATGTTGGCTCATCAATAATAGAGTCTGTGCGTGTCCAAGGCGAGAGGATGCGATTGTCTTACGGCTCCACCACTTTGTGACACATGCATGTACACCAGACTCTAACATGATCAGTCTGCAGCAGTGCTATGCGCCACAAACACCCCCTCTTTCGCCAACACAAACAAATTACTGACATGAAACAGTTGTTCTCAACATTCGTGTTCAAATAAAAAGACGAAACACCGAAGCCCAGAGATGCTGGAGGATGCTTGCTGTAGGAAAAGAGTAGAGAAGCTGTCAGGATGCCTTGGCGATGATGAGGATGCTCATGAGGAAGACCATGATGAAGAAGATCCACATGAAGAATCGGTCCATCACCTTGGCGACCTTCTTCCACTCTGCCACCTTGACACACGTTGCTCTCTGCTCACGGAAGCAGTTGGCGATGTACTGAATGTTCTTCACCACCTGAAAGGAGATGACGGAGTTCAAAGCAGCAGGAAGGAGAAACAACAGGTAGTGGCTGATAACGAGGTGAGGTGTGTCACCTGTTTGTGTTGGAGGCAGGGGCAGCAGCAGGGGCACGCTGGGACTTGATATTTCTCAAATGGGTAGAGACTCGGCTCTTTAGGCGCCCCGTTCAGGTGCTGGAGGTTTCTCGGATGTGGAGGGCTCTGGTAGTCCAGTTCGTCCCTCCTGATGTGGTGGTTTGTCTCTCCCCTCTCCAGCCTGGAAGCATGGTGGTTCTGGTTGTTGTGGTGGTGATATTTGCGGCTGGTGCTGCCGTTTGCTTGGCTTTTGTAAGGCTTGTTGTGATGATGTCCGGCTTGGCCGTTGCTGTACTTGTACGGCGTCTCCTGATGGTAGAAGCCACCGTGGATGCTGTCATCATAGTAGCATCCCTTTTCTCCCATGGGCTCCTCTGGGTACAACGGACTCTTCTCACCCTCTGGAGTCGTGCAGTTTTCCCCGACTTCGTAAACAAAAAAAATCTTGGACATGTAGTCGATGATTAGCACCTTCGCCCAGTGTGGGACCGGTTTGGCCTCGGCACCACAGAAATGGATGTTCATGATGAAGATGGTGAGGGAAGTGGAGGCAGTGATCATAGTCATCGTGGCGATGTAATACTTCCCTTTAAGAGAAGGTAAGAAAAGACACATTCTGTTGATAATTTCATTGCATGCTGTTGATCTGAAATTTAAAAAATAAACTTAGCTTCTCAAAGTGGGAATTTTGAAAAACTCAAACTAATCTACCATTAAAGCAAACAAGCAAAAGTAATTTAATACTGTGGTGAAAACAGAATCCAAAGACTAAATCAGACCTATGTAGGGCATGTTTTCTGCAGGAGGCATGATCTCAGCCACCAACAGCTGGAACACAGTGAGTGCCAGCAGCACCGTCACCCCCAGGGAGACCTTCTCCCCCGAGTCGGCCGGCAGGTAGAATCCCAGAGGAGCCAGGAAGGAGATTAGGAAGCAGGGCAGGAGCAGGTTGAAGATGTAGAAAGAGGAGCGGCGCTTCAGGAGCAGGGTGTAGGTGATTTCTGTGTAAGGGTCCGAGCAGCATCCGTACATCATGACATTCCTGACCGCAGGCATGCCGTGACACTCCCACTCCACATTATCCACAAAGTCCTCCAAGTCGCCGCTGTCCATCCCTAAACTGATGTCCAGCTGAAAGATACGGGGAAAAAAATTAATCAAAGTCAATCTGGTAAATCTGCAGCAAATCAATGAGAATACATTTCTAACTATTTAAAAATATGCAGTATTTGTATACTCAGCTATTCCTCCATAATTTTTCGTGTATTTAAATCAGGGATTTGTAAATAGTGTTTAATGGTAAAGCAACATGTTTTGTACCTAGAGGCTAACTTGTTTGCACCAAAAAAAAACATGTGAAATGCATAATACTGTAAAATATTTGAAACTGTTTATTTGAAAATGTTTATGTTGCTTTGCTGTGGTAGTTTTTTTGATGCCTCAAATCGTGCCCTGTCTAGGACACGGGGTGAGAAATCTTTTTTTTATACCGTCTCTCCTCATGTTTTCTTCCCTTTTCTCATCTAAGCAAAATATTATTCTGAATAAGAATAAGAAGGCCGCGCTACTTATAGCTGCAGCTTCGTGCACTCCGCCCATCTTTCGGACGACTGTACGTACATATTCGCGTTGTATCTCGGTGCAATGCCAATAAAGTTTATTCTGATTCTGAACTACCAATACATAAAAAAAAATTAACATCTAAAATAAACTATAAAACTAAACAACAAAGTTCATGCTCAATCATCCAGGTATCAAATTCAATAATTCTCAGTCAGGTCATCTGACTTAACACTTAAGAAGTTTACTGCTTGGTGGGGAAACTGATGAAGCCCTCTGGATAGAGGGTGAAACATCTCTTAAAAAAAAAAAAGAAAGAAAAGAAACTGTCCAGATGACCTGACTGAGAATTATTGGATATAAAACTAAACATTTTTTACATTTAATGCAAATTAGAATACAGGACGAACTAGAAAAACATTGCCTGGTTACACAGGTTTGTTTTTGTTGCACCTCAGAATCAAAGCCATTTTTGTGTTGTCAAAGGTTGATAGCTGTAGCGGCCATCTTGAATTGGGTAACTCCAAAAGTGAATCAGTTGTAGAGGTACCTCCAATGATGACTTGGAGAGATTAGGACAATTAGGGACAGTTTAGAGTTACCAGTCAGTCTAACATGCAGAGTGGTGGTGAAGAGGTTAAAGAAGATGGGCCTGTGATTGGAAGATCACTGGTTCAAATCTCGGTACTGACACCATCAAAAATATGGGAGGGATAGCTGAAGCACCTACAACTGTCTCCACCCTCATTTGCCCCACTCTGGGCTCGAGCAAAGCCTCCACCATCTGCTCCCCCGGGCGCCCTAGATGTCAGCTCTCTGCTCCACACAGAGAGCTCTGTGGTTGTGTCAGGAAGGACACCCGGCATAAAAATAATTGTCACGTCTTCGTGCGACAGTTTGCTGTGGCGACCCCTAAAGAAGGGAGCAGTCGAAAAAAGGAATAAAAAATCAGCCAAACATGCATGTTTTTGGTCTGTGGGAGGAAACCAGAGTACCAGGAGAAACCCCATGTGTGCACAGGGAGGACAAGCAGGTCCTCAGATCAAGACCTGATGTGGATCAGAGACCAAAAATGATTCACAAACCACTGTGATGTTTGTCTTTTCACCTTGCATGATAGCATATTCTGCTGACATTTAGGACTGAATATGTTTACTGCTTTTAGATGAATCCCTAGTAGTCAAAAAGCATTGATCTTAAAATGACACCTTGTGGAATGCCAGTTTTGCATGTTTCACAAACAGATTTCATCCCATTAAATATGACATGTTGCCTCTGGCTTTTAAATATGAAATGAACTAGTTGTAAACTTTTCTAAGAGAGAATTTTAGCATTTAAAGTTCATCAAAAATCAGCTTATGATTTATTCTACTGAAAACCTTTAAGTATTTTGCTCAGACTGTATTTTTGCATCTATGAAATTGCTTAATATTTTCTGTAAAATACCAGTTCTGTTGAATATCCTAATCAAAACTCAACTTTCATGTAACCAAAGTCTCATGTGAATTATGTAACTCAAAGCTAAATGTCTGTTGTCTGATTTGCTCTAAAAAAAAATTTATTTCCCTAACTTTCTCATTCTTCACGTCTCACCTGGTTGCCATTGTACGTCCAGGAGCCAAAGGTAAGATTGCATGACTGCCAGTCAAAAGGGAAGTAGGAGACATCTACATTACATGTGCTCTTTGTGATGGCCGGAGAGTCCCAAACAATCTCCCCATTATAACGCAGCTTCACGTTGGTGTTAGACGGTTCTGATGACTCGTCATCTGCTCTATACATGGAAAGAAAAAGGACAAAAACAGCAACAAACATTTAAGGATGCAAGTTTGTTTTAATATTTATGTTTATTTTTCTTTTACGTTTGTCTTTATGAGAGCCCTGCCTCTCATTACTGACTTGTTGTAAAGGACGATGTCCGGCTTCCAAACCATTTCACTGGGGATGTTGATCATCTCTAAGTCATCGTAGTCTTCTTTATTCCACCTCAGGTAGGCGTCATGCCAAACCTGCCTGATCCACAGGTAGGTGGTCAGCACCTGGTTTTTCTCATCCTAAACACATACAGACACATACAGTGGTGGGTTTTTAAGCATGAAGATTGCCATCACAGCAAGACAAACAAATCACACAGAAAATGACTCAGTTTTACAGATAGTGGGCTACAATAGGTGTAGTAGTAGCTGAGAGTCATGTTCAACACACACTCTGAGCACTAACTAATCTGTTTTTAAAACTTTACAATTAACTATTGAAGTCATGTCTGTTAGCAAAATATTTCACAAGCCACTGGATGGATTTACACATCTATAACTGATAAACTTTTGGAGTCAACCCCATTCAAGAGGGCCACCACAGCTAAGGGGCCTTAGGAAACACCAAAATAACTACAACGCAGTCAGTTTTACATATAGTGAGATAAACTTGACAGATCTCACAGAATTTTCAACATCGCAAGAGTTCACACTACACATAGTTCATTCATTCATTCAACCTTTATTTATACAGGTTAGTCTCACTGAGCCTCAAGGACTCATTTACAAGAGAGACCTGTTTTAAACATAGAACACAGATGAGGTACAAATAACAATAGAAAATCATATAAAAGCATATAAAACGAAAAAGTAAATAGAATAACTTAAATAAAAATGAAACAAAAACAGCTACATTATAAAGCGATGTAAAATACTAAAAACAGGAACATGTCTGCGTTGGTTTTTGCCATGAACTTAGCATATGTTTAAAATCTCTTAGAGAGGTCAAGGTCGAGAGCTTCAGATCTTTTTGCAAGATATTCCAGGAAACAGGTGCGGCGTAGGAGAAGGCCATTTTGCCTAGTTCAGTCCAGACTGAGGGAACACTGCAGGTAATAATGTCCTGAGAGCGCACGCTGTAGCTGCACTCACACAGAGACATGTAGGAGGAGATATATGAAGACAGCAGACCAAGACGTGATTTAAATATGAAAATGTACCAGTGAGAGAGTCTGCGTGAAGTTAATTATGACCAGTTAACCAGTGAATGCAGGGTGCAGTGGTGGGTACGATAATCACAGCCAGTTATGAATCTGTGTACCATGCACTACCATGTTAGTGCACCATGATAGACAGCTTCCAGCATCTGCAGGGTGCTTGTAGGAGCATTCATGTAAATATTGTCACTGTAGTCAATGGAGGGAAGGAAAGTTGCAGTGACAAGGCGTTTCCTAGGATCTATTACTAAAAAAGAAACCCAGTTTTACTCTCAATTTCTTTATCAAGTTTTCAACGTGAGGCTTAAAAGAGAAATGCAAACAAAGGTTTAGTCACAAATCAAATTTAAACACACACATGTGAATCCAGACAGAGGCACAACCCTTTGGTTGTGATATTTGTGGACAATGTTTTAACCGAAAGGGACATTTAAACACACGTACGAATCTACACAGGAGATCAACCTTTTCCTTGTGATGTTTGTGAATACCAGTTTAACCAGAAGACGGATCTAAACAAGCACATGAGAATCCACACAGGAGATAAACTGTTCCCTTGTGATGTTTGAGGGAGAAGGTTTAACTTAAGTGGGAATTTAAAAGTACACATAAGAATCCACACAGGAGATCAACCATTTAGTTGTGATGTTTGTGGACATGGATTTAGAAGTAAGGTCCATTTAAACACACACCCAAGAATCCACACTGGACAGAAACCATTTGGTTGTGGTTTGTGTGGACAAAGGTTTAACCAAAAAGGATGTTTAAACAAACACATGAGAATCCACACAGGAGATAAGCTATTTACCTGTGATGTTTGTGAACAACAATTTAACCAGAAAACATATCTTAACAAACACGTAAAAGTCCACACTGATGCCACCCAAATTTGCTGATAATGAAGCAAAACCTCTTCCTCAGCACCAAATGGAAGAGAAATATTTTCCAACCAGCAGCTCAGCTGACCAAATGGAAGCAGGAACTTGTGGAGAGGACTGTGAAGGACGAAAAATGACCAGGAACCCAAGTCTAAACTCTGAATACTCATGAAGATTATTCCAGCTCTTCAGAGACTGAAGTCAGGGACCATGAGGAAGATAATGAGGATGAGAACAATTTTGACTCTCAGATGAAAGGGTCAGACTTTGAGCCAAAAACTGGAGACTAATGAAGACCGTAAAAAGAGCAGGTCTACTGAGCCAGGTGTAAACTCTGTTAGCAAATCTTTCAGCTGCTCTGGTAAACAGTTTCATTGTGGTCAGTCTCATCAGAGACACATGTTAAGTTATTCCGGAATAAAAGTTCCCAAGTTCTTTGAATAATAGGAAATGTGGTGAAGTAAATACAAATGTAGAGTCACACAGAAGAGATAAAATAACGCAGAAATCATTCAGTTGTAACGACTGTGGTAAAAGCTTTACTAGAAAATTTGATCTAAAAACTCACATGAGAATCCACACAGAAGAAAAACCATTCGGTTGTGATGTCTGTGAACAAAGGTTTGGCCATAGGTCAAATTTAAATCCACACAGGGGATAAACCATTTGCTTGTGATGTTTGTGGACAACAGTTTACACAAAAGGGATGCTTAAATACGCACATGAGGATCCACAATGATCAGAAACCGTTTGGTTGTGATATTTGTGGACAAAGATTTTGCAGCAAGACATATTTACAAAGTAGTTACACACATGAGAAGCCACACAGGATGGGAACTGTTTGACTGTGACATTTGCAGTCAAAATTTTAACTAAAAAGGAAGTTTAAACAAACACATAAGAAGCCACTCGGGAGCTAAACTGTTTACTTGTGATGTTAGTGGGCGAAAGTTTACCCTGAAGGGAAATTTAAACGCAAACATGAAAATCCACACAGGAGATCAACCATTTGGTTGTGATGTTTGTGGACAAAGATTTAGTGGCAAAGCCCAATTAAACACACACGAGAATCCACACAGGACAGAAACCGTTTCCATGCAACAGTTGTGGACAACGATTTAGCTAGAACACGTATCTAAACAGACACATGAGAATCCACACAGGACAGAAACCGTTTGCTTGTGATGTTTGTGAACGACGGTTTAACCGAAAGGAAAATTTAAACACACATAAGAGGATTCACACAGGAAGCAAAGCCCTTACTGGCATTAATTCTTAAAACACAAACAATAAATCACACAGGAAAACACTAACTGTGAATATTAAGATAACATTCACACGAGAGGTTGACAAAATTAAAATCGTTCTTGTGTTTGTTGTTAAAAGGGTCACTGACTAGCTGGAACAATCAAAATAATTTTTATCAACAATACTTCAGCTATAAAATGAAGACCATAAAAATACTGTAGGCTATTTAGTTTATTTTTTATTTTTCAAACATTAACGATACATGGAGGTCACCATTTTATTTTACACTGCAATGCATTCTGGGTAAATTATCCTTAGACAGAGAATTTTTACTAATTGACTTTTGTATGTATGGGATGTGAATGTTTCTGTACAAGGCACTGAATCAACTTCTGTTGTGATTTTTTTGCTACATAAATAAACTGAATTGAATTTAAATAAGGTGGGGCACGTGGGCGAGCGCCTGGTGGCCGGGCTTTTACCCATGGAGCTCGGCCGGGCACAGCCCGAAGAGGAGACGTGGGTCCCCCTTCCTATGGGCTCACCACCTGTGGGAGGGGCCAAAGGGGTCGGGTGCAATGTGGGATGGGTGGTGGCCGAGGGCGGGGACCCTGGCGGTCTGATCCTCGGCTACAGAAGCTGGCTATTGGGACGTGGAATGTCACCTCACTGGTGGGGAAGGAGCCTGAGCTGGTGTGTGAGGCTGAGAGGTTCCGGCTAGAAATAGTCGGACTCACCTCTACACATGGCTCGGGCTCTGGAACCAGTTTCCTTGAGAGGGGCTGGACACTCTTCCACTCTGGAGTTGCCCCTGGTGAGAGGCGCCGAGCAGGCGTGGGCGTACTAATTGCCCCCCAACTTGGTGCCTGTGTATTGGGGTTCACCCCCGTGAATGAGAGGGTGGCCTCTCTCCGCCTACGTGTGGGGGGACGGGTTCTGACTGTCGTTTGTGCTTATGCACCAAACGGCAGTTCAGATTATCCACCCTTTCTGGAGTCCTTAGAGGGGGTACTGGAAAGTGCACCTTCTGGGGACTCCCTTGTTCTGCTGGGGGACTTCAATGCTCATGTGGGCAATGACAGTGAGACCTGGAGGGGTGTGGTTGGGAGGAATGGCCCCCCTGATCTGAACCAGAGTGGTGTTCTGTTGTTGGACTTCTGTGCTCGTCATGGATTGTCAATAACGAACACCTTGTTCAAGCATAAGGGTGTCCATATGTGCTCTTGGCACCAGGACACCCTAGGCCGCAGTTCGATGATTGACTTTGTCATCGTCTCATCTGATCTGCGGCCACATGTCTTGGACACTCGGGTGAAGAGAGGGGCGGAGCTGTCAACTGATCACTACCTGGTGGTGAGCTGGCTCCGATGGTGGGGGAGGATGCCGGTCAGACCTGGTAGGCCCAAACGTATTGTGAGGGTTTGCTGGGAACGTCTGGCAGAGTCTCCTGTGAGACGGAGTTTCAACTCCCACCTCCGGGAGAACTTCAAACATGTTCCGAGGGAGGTGGGGGACATTGAGTCTGAGTGGACCATGTTTCGTGCCTCTATTGTCGAGGCGGCTTACCAGAGCTGCGGCCGCAAGGTTGTCGGTGCCTGTCGGGGCGGCAACCCTCGAACCCGATGGTGGACACCGTCGGTGAGGGATGCTGTCAGGCTGAAGAAGGAGTCCTATCGGGCCTTTTTGGCCTGTGGGACCCCGGAAGCAGCTGATGGGTACCGGCAGTCCAAGCGACATGCGGCTCGGGTGGTTGCTGAGGCAAAAACTCGGGCATGGGAGGAGTTCGGAGAGGCCATGGAGAACGACTTCCGCACGGCTTCGAGACGTTTCTGGTCCACCATCCGGCGTCTCAGGGGGGGGAAGCGGTATGCCACCAACACTGTTTATAGTGGGAGTGGTTTGCTGCTGACCTCAACTCGGGATGTTGTGGGTCGGTGGGCGGAATACTTTGAAGACCTCCTCAATCCCACCGGCACGTCTTCCACTGAGGAAGCGGAGCCTGGGGACTCTGGGTCGGGCCCTCCAATCTCTGGTGCTGAGGTCACCGAGGTGGTTAAAAAGCTCCTCGGTGGCAGGGCCCCAGGGGTGGATGAGATCCGCCCAGAGTTCCTTAAGGCTCTGGATGTTGTAGGGTTGTGTTGGCTTACGCGACTCTGCAATGTTGCGTGGACATCGGGGGAAGTTCCCCTGGATTGGCAGACCGGGGTGGTGGTCCCCCTATTCAAAAAGGGGGACCGTAGAGTGTGTTCCAACTACAGGGGAATCACGCTCTTAAGCCTCCCTGGTAAGGTCTATTCGGGGGTTCTGGAGAGGAGGGTCCGTCGGATAGTCGAACCTCGGATTCAGGAGGAACAGTGCGGTTTTCGTCCTGGCCGTGGAACACTGGACCAGCTCTACACTCTCAGCAGGGTCCTGGAGGGTGCGTGGGAGTTTGCCCAACCAGTCTACATGTGCTTTGTGGACTTGGAGAAGGCTTTCGACCGCGTCCCTCGGGGGGCCCTGTGGGGGGTACTCTGGGAGTATGGGGTACCAGGCCCTTTGATACGGGCTGTTAGGTCCCTGTATGACCGGTGTCAGAGCCTGGTCCGCATCGCCGGCAGTAAGTCGGGCTTGTTCCCGGTGAGAGTTGGACTCCGCCAAGGTTGCCCTTTGTCACCGATTCTGTTCATAACTTTTATGGACAGAATTTCTAGGCGCAGCCAAGGTGTTGAGGGGATCCGTTTTGGTGGCCTCAGAATTGCGTCTCTGCTTTTTGCAGATGATGTGGTCTTATTGGCTTCATCAGATCGTGATCTACAGCTTTCACTGGAGAGGTTCACAGCCGAATGCGATGCGGCCGGGATGAAGATCAGTTCCTCCAAATCCGAGGCCATGGTCTTGAGCCGGAAAAGAGTAGAGTGCCCTCTCTGGGTCAGGGAGGAGGTCCTACCCCAAGTGGAGGAGTTCAAGTATCTTGGGGTCTTGTTCACGAATGAGGGAAAAATGGAGCGTGAGATCGATAGGCGGATAGGTGCAGCGTCTGCAGTGAAGCGGGCGCTGTACAGGTCTGTCGTGGTGAAGAGAGAGCTGAGTCAAAAGGCGAAGCTCTCAATTTACCGATCGATCTACGTTCCCACCCTCATCTATGGTCACGAGCTTTGGGTTGTGACCGAAAGAATGAGATCTCGGATACAGGCGGCTGAGATGAGTTTTCTCCGCAGGGTGTCTGGGCTCTCCCTTAGAGACAGGGTGAGAAGCTCGATCATCCGGGAGGGACTCGGAGTAGAGCCGCTGCTTCTCCACATCGAGAGGAGCCAGTTGAGGTGGCTTGGGCATCTGTTTAGGATGCCTTCTGGACGCCTCCCTGGTGAGGTGTTCCGGACACGTCCCACCGGAAGGAGGCCCAGGGGAAGACCCAGGACACGCTGGAGGGACTACGTTTCTCGGCTGGCCTGGGAACGCCTTGGGATTCCCCCGGAAGAGCTGGCCCAAGTGGCTGGGGAGAGGGAAGTCTGGGCCTCCCTACTTAGGCTGCTACCCCCGCGACCCGACCCCGGATAAGCGGAAGAAAATGGATGGATGGATGGATGGATGAATTTAAATAATTTGTGTACTTTGGACATGTGTTATTAATTACTACAGTGTTTTTTCCGTACATTTAAAGTTTGTAAATATTAGTTTTTTTGTTTTCCTTTCCATTTCCATCCAGTTATTAAAAATTTGCTCAAAATACAAAACAGACCACTTTAGTCATTTAACCACGAGTTCCAGGTTTTGATCCCTGAATCAGTTTAAACTGAAAAGTTAATAGTTTTCTTGCAGCTAAATCATAAATATTGTAGAGATTTAATGCGATGAAAATAAATTTATCAAATGTTTTGACAAAACAGCATCCTAGCACTTATAAAAGAAAGTGTACAGAAATGTATTTTTGTTGTTTTATTTTTATTATGTTTTTGCCTCGTGTTAGGTAAATTTCTCCTGAACCAGTAGATGGATTTGAATGAAACTCAAAAAATAATAGACTTGGTCATTAGCTGTTGGGTCAGCTTTGTCTGTTAGCAAAATATCTCATAAACCACTGGACATTTTAGTGAACCTCAGAAAGTAGTTTCTGGTTGTACAATAGGGCTGTGTGATATTTCAATATTTTTAAAATATCGATATAATGTTATACATGATATAAATTCACATATCAATATAAACAATATAGTTTTACTTGAAAATCCGCCGGCTCGGCTGTCTTCTTTCTTCTCCCACACGACCCCCAGTCCCTACCTGCGCGCTCTCCCCCTGCTTCCTGGTGAGAACCAGGAGGAGCGGCACTGTCATTCCCCGATCTGTTACGGAAGCCGATCCGTATTGTCAGCTCACTTGCGTATGCGCTAAAAGTAATACTTCTGGATCACATGGATCATCTTTGAATATGCAAGATTAAGGAAAATGTGTACTAGTTTACTTAGAAAAGTACGATCTTCGTGTTGCTAATTTACGTCACTTGTATTTCCATTAAAATCATTGACATATTTACATCATGACCCCCAGCCTGGGCTGAATGAGAAAACCCTGCAAGATGAATTATTTCCATGGTGAAACAACGCCGCTCCGTGGTGAAGCTACACTACATCACCCTAAAAAAATTATTTACCCTAAATATGTGTCCCATATCATTTTAACTCATGACATAAGAATCCATATGCCACAGTGTGTTGGGCCCCCTGCTATTGTACTGCCGACATCAACCCCACTCACCCAGTGCACACTTACATTTTGACCTGCTCCCCTCAGGAAGGAGGTTGAGGAGCATTCAGTGTAGAACGACTGAGGAACAGCTTCTACCCTGAGGCCTTGACTCATGAATCTCTAACCAGAATAATCACTGTGGAAAAAATCACATCATGTTGCTGCTGATCTGTTTCATGTTGCTGTGTTCATGCGTGCTCATCTGCTCACACAGACTCATGCTCATGTTCGTGCTGCTGTTCGACATATTGTTTTTATGCCATTAGTGCTTAGTGTATTTTTAGTTGATGTTTTTCTTAGTTCATATCTTTGACCTTATTACTGTTTTCCTTTTACACACATTTTAATACTTTTGTTGGATGTAACTGGGACCTTGTGTACAGAATTTCGTTACGCCACATACATGTGGTGTAAATGACAAATAAAGAACCTTGAGTCCTTGAACATTCATCACTTTACCACAGTTGTAAGATTGCTTTGTCGTGTTGGAGTTCTGATAATATTACAATTTTATTCTGGTAAAATTACAAGTTTATTCTCATAATATTATGACTTTATTCTCGCATTGTTTCTACTTTATTCTTATAATACTACGACTTTATTTTCATAATACTATGACTTTATTCTCTTATTGTTTCAACTTTATTCTCATAATACTATGACTTTATTCTCATTCGAAATGTAATATTTTTTTCCTTAGTGTGGCCCTAAAGCTCCGTTGTAGGATGCTGATTTTCTGCTGGTAAATTTGAAACAAAGTAGCCAGTGAGTGGGCCACCGGGGTAAGGAAGGGAGGATATATGCTGAATTGGGAAAATATCCAGAGAGCCGTCTCTTTGTTTGCACCTAAAGCAGGAAGCACACTGCATCAAATCAGCGTCCTGATTTTACAGTCCAGCCCATGGGCCTGGCTTGAGTTAACCAAAGAATCCAGACGTATATTCACCAGCCTTTTTATTATGTTTGTTAACACATCTACCAATCAGCCAACCACATGGCTGCAACTCAATGCAGTTAGACATTAGACATGGTGAACTTATCCAAGTCTTGCACAAATAATATCAAAGTGCCGTTTTCCTAAACTGTTTTATGTGCATGGTCAAGACTTGGCAGGTTTTTGTAATCCAGTGGTAAAGATGCAGTTTTCATTTCAGTGGTTCGGTTTAGGGTGGTCATTTGTACCTCCTAACGTCGTCTCTACTCACCATGTCTTTGATCTGTGACAGTGTGATCTGCAGCGAGACGTTGATGGCTTTGTCCGTGTCCTCTACAGGTCTCAGAGCATTGGAGTAGTTCTCCATCAGGTCATTCAGGAGTTTGTGGGCATAATGACCCTGAGCGCAGTGGGACACTGGGAACAGGAGGGGGCAACACAGATATAGAAGGGAAGTTACGCAGGTCTTTTTTGTCTTATTTCTAGAACAATAAAAAATAGAGTTACCAGACAATTAGACAGTTGATCAGTTAGATTTAGAAACCAGGTAAAAACCTGGTCCATCATGCAGAGAGCTGACCTTGCACCAGAAGGCTTATCCAAACCATCAGAGCTGCCCTCCTCATGTTTTGCTCCTCACCAGTTGGTGTGTTCAATTATTTAAAGTGGTCCCCGAGACAGCCTGAGTCCAGATCCAGAGCGTCACTCGGTTTGTTGCGTTCTGTGGCCCACTAAGGCAGAGCCCGCTGACGCTGCTGAAAGTTCTTGAGGTCTAACATCCTGCCAGGAGCTCTGAATGCTTCGCTAGCTGTTAGTCGTGGGTCCCCTCCGTGTGTGTGTGTGTGTGTGTGTGTGTGTAACTGCTGCTGTGGAACAAGACCTGGGGATATCACACACACACACACACACAGGTGTGCTGCTGTATCACTTTGCACAGTGCAACCAGGTGAAATGTGATGCTCAGAGCCCTCTACTAGTGTACATGACCACAACCAGCTAACACACACACACACACACTGCAGCATTACACAGCTAATGACATTTGTTAGTCACTCAAGTGTCAGCTCATTCAAGATAAACACATCACTGAGGACGTTACACGTTTGTGGAAAACTCGGACCTGATCCAGGATCAGATCTCACCATGTGAATAATGACACAGAGACAGTCGCACTGTTTGCAGATCTACGAGATAAGAGGCAGTATCTGGCTTCCCCTGGAATAAGCAAGAAAAGTTTAACTTTATATTACTAAAGAGCTAGAGCGGTGGTCTTCAGCTTAAATTTTGTGAGGTCCACCTCAAGAAGTCTTTCTACGGGAAAAGTCCAGAATATATTTTATAAATGTTTACCTGGAACTACCATGAAACACTGGATAAACTGTGCTGTGTGAAATGCTAAATTATAAATTAAAAAAAAGCTGCACCACGTTAAATGAATTACTAGAAAATGTTGGAAAGTAAAAACAAAACTGTATTTGTTTAATTCTGCTGAAAAAAAAAAAAATCTGGGTCCTGTTAAGAATTTATTTGGGTCTGGATCTGGACATCGGTCCGCCTGAGGGGGACCCCTGATCATGAGCATCAAAAGTAATTGTAAACTTTCTTTTTTAATGGCTTCATTGCTTTAATTTAATTTGTTTCTCTGCAAAGAAAAAAAAGAATATACAAATTTTCTCAGTGATTGATACAAAAGTTTTAAGTCAAAATATTTTACAATGAGAAGTGGGTTGAAAGGTGTCATGTAGGATATAGCCTGTTGCAATATAGGCTTACCATTAATTAGTTTAGCTGTTAGAACAACATATTTTGTTTTCAGCAGAAAATATTACTGTTTTGAAGATTAAAATTCTTCTAAAACTATAATAAACAACTACATGGGAAAGTAATATGAGGCTACAATAATTACTAAAGGCAATGATCTTGTGATGTAGGTTGGATCGTGTTAAATAGCCATTAACTGGAAGAGGTGTTGATTTATCTCCTATTCTGAATATTTCACACATTGGTCATAGATGTAGGCCCGATTGTTTTGTCTTAGTTGTTAGCTGTTTGCTATGTCAGTATCAACCAAACAACTGCTGAGCAGATTTCATGATGACTTTATTGATGATTTAGCATAAAGGAAGGAAAGAAGGGTCAATATTTAGGTGGCAGTTGTGCAGTTTAGTCTATATTTCTTGTCTGAAAGGTATACAGTATTTATGTGTCTTGCTCTGTGTTTAAAGTACAAAGTATTATTATATTTTCTTTAATTTCAAGTTTTTTGAATAAAATATTCAAAGAAACTTTTGAAGTCTGTGATGGTACATGGTAATCTGAATGATATGGCACAGTGAAGTGTGTCTGTGCACCCAGGGGTGGGGGTGGGTTGCTTGCCCAGGGCACCTAACAGGCTAGGACCACCCCTGTCATCACCAACATGTCTGCAGCTCTGCTGCTGCTGTTGGACCAAATGAATCTCTCTGAGACACAAACACTGAATTCAAGTTTTCCTCCTCAGGTGTGAAGTGTGAAGAGCTCCGTGACCGTGCACTGATTTAGACACTTCCAGTGAAGAATCTGACTGGGAATGAACAAAACCCAAGAAAAAGAAAAGAGTCTGAACACTTGTTGCATGAAGCCACCAGAGGAGGAGCTTTAAGACCTCTTTTATTGGACTTGTTCAATTAAGATGTTGGATATTTAAAACAGACTTGAATAATTTCTTTAATGCAGTGAAACATGTTGACATTTAAAAGATACATACGATAAATTATATATATATATATATATATATA